AGGAGGGTCTGGTGGCCCCAGGCCTCATCCTCACCCCATTCATGAGCTGAGCATTTTCCAGTGCCCAAGGCAGGTGCCAGCTCAGCAGTTCACTCAGAGGGATGGCAGTGCCAGGCAGCAGAGCTTGATGAGAATTAACCAAGGCATTGAATCACTGTGGTTTTCCATTTCTTTCTTCCTTACATGCAGACCATGAGTGATGGGTCAGCCCTACACACAGAGCACTGAAGACACACTGAGCCTGCTGGATGGGTTTCCATCTCACTGGCCCATGGCTCATGGTGCTAAAGTTAGCAGCCAGGAATCACCAGGATATGTGGTGGCCACCAGCACTGAGCCACAGACTGTCCCTTTTTCCTGCCTTGCTGAGTGGATCAGCTGGCTTCAATTCCACTGAGCATGGCTTGTAAAGCAGGAGGAAACAGCAGCACAGTCACAAGAGGAGACTGATGGGTTTGAATCCAGCTGTGAGGCTGCACCTCTCCCAAAGCCCCAGTTAGAGAGAAGGAAGCTATCAGTGGTGAGAAAGGGGGACCCCTGTGCCATATCTCAGGAGGACAAGCATGAAAGATGCTGGGAACTGTCCCTGCTCCACCAGGCAGTGCTTCGGGCACAACATGGCATGGCAGCCTGTGGTGGCACCCCAGAGCTTCTCACCTTCCCCCAGAGAGCCCCAAAGAAGTACCTTCTGCTGCCTATTGCTTGTTTGGCTGAGGTGCTGGGATATCCTGGAGGAGCTGCAGCTGGTCTGAAGGTGCCTGGGCACAGCAGAGCAAGGCTGAGCAGCAGGGCTGGGCTGGCTCCACTGCACCATCACATCCTCAAAGTCCCACTGTGAAGAGAAAGGAGCAGGCAGTACCCCAGATGGGTGCAGGGGAGCCCCAGGCAGCTCCCTGGGCAGCACGGGACCTGCACTGCCTCCTTCCAGAAATGGGAACTGGCTGCATTTGCAACTATAAAGTTTTTGGTTCTCCCTTTCTCCATGGCAAAGCAGAATAGTCCTGGTTTCCATTTTTCTCACACACCCCTCTTGCTGCCCAGACAATGTGAGGAGAGGGCTCAGGAGAACACGGAGGGGTCAAGCAAGATGTGGTGTCAGGAGTAAGAGAATCCCTTTTCCCTGAGACCCTCACAGCAGTGATTCCTGAGTGCTGCACTGCCCTGAGCACAGACAGTTCTGAGAAGCTCCAAGCAGACACTCTTACTGAAAATCCTGTGAAATCCCAGATGAGCCTGCACTGGTCTATCAATGCTGACCAAAACAAAGGGGCTCTGTAGATGCTTCCAGCTTCCCTTTGCTCTGGGCAGGCAGAAAAATCCTGGCTGGACTGCAGGACCTTCCCTCATGGATGATGTTTCTGTTTCTTTGCCTCAACTCCCAAGTGATGAAGGGCTGGTGACATTTCCAGAAGGGCAAACCCAAGTCTGCTCCACCCAGCACATGCAGTCCTCCTGCCCTGACACCACCCATAGGACAGACCCTTTTCCCACAGCCACAGCAAGAAAGAACACTGGGGCAGAGTTCCTCTGACTCAGTAGTGGTTTCTTTTCCTCTTGTCCTCACCATGACCTCTTTGTGTCTCAAGATGTCCTGGGCACCTCAGGCATTTAGCTTGGAGAGACTATTTTCTGAGGTATACTGGAGAGCTGCTCCCTGCCTCTCTCCCAGCTGCCCCAGGATATTTTCCCCAATATTTTTTTTCCTTCTGTAGCAAAAAAAGAAAAAACAGTAAAAAAGCTGGACTAGAGCCACCACACAGGGAAGGGGGACAGCACAATACCACTCCTCACAGCCAAATGGGGGTAAGGGATCCTGCAGGGGCTGGGCAATGGCCTGAAGCTCCTCACAGGAGGGAAGAAGCTGTGAACAGAGAGGGAAAAAGAAAGGTTGCTTTTTACTTTAAAGCAAGTGTCTCAGGAGAATTAGAAAAGCGTTGCTTCGCTTTTGTAGAAACAGCTTGAAAGGCCCTGGACTGAGCTGCTGCCTTGCCCTGGCCAGAGCCACACTCCCCACTGGGGTCCCCTTGGCACCTCCTTGCCCGGGTGGTGGGGAGGGCATGAGCCACTCTGCAGGGCTGTGGTGGGGTGGGACCCCCGGACCCACACCTCTGCTGGGATCCTGAGCTGGAGCAGGACCCAACAGGGCTGCTGGGGGCCACAGGGCTGCTCCTCTGCCTGGGAAAGGCCGGCCCCTAACGGCAGGAGAGGGGGACTTCAGCCTCCTCCAGACAGCCCAGCAGCTTTGGTCCTCGTGGTGCCCGCAGAAAACCAGAGATCCCACACGGCAGTCCCTTGCTGCAGAGTCCCCGGTGCAAAAAGCCATCATCCCTCTGATCCCTGACCTGAGATGTTGGGAAAAGATCAAAACCTGACCCCGGACAGCCCCAGCCTGCAGTGGGGTGATGGGCAGGGGACTTGTTTGTGTAGTGCTGGCTCTGCCAAGCTGAAGGGAGCAAAGCTCCCACATCATCTGCCACCAAGTGCAGTTAGAAGAGGCACAGCACCCACAGCAGAGTGGCTTAGGAATTTGCATCCTGGCATCCCCTACCCCTCAACTGCTCACCCATGATGCTTCAGGTTTCAGGAACAGAGTAAAACATACTGCCCTTCCTCAAAACAGGACTGCAAAACACTTTTTTGTAGTAGCTAGATGGCAGCTCAGACATGCAATGACAAGTCCTGTGTGTGAAGCAGAGTAAAACATACTGCTCTTCCTCAAAACAGAACTGCAAAACACTTTTTTGTAGTAGCTAGCTGGCCTAGATGGCAGCTCAGACATGCAATGACAAGTCCTGTGTGTGAAGCAGAGCCCCAGCTCTCTGGATGTCCAGGGCAGAGCTGGTGATTCCAGCACAGGCTGCCAGTGCTGCCCCACAGGTGTGGCACCCAGTGCCACACATGGCACAGACCCACCCACGATCTCCTGGGACACCACATGCTGTGGGAGACTGCAGGCTGGTGTGAGACCCCTGAACCAGGCAGCAGAGACCTGCAGGCAGCACTGTAGCTCTCAATGCAAGTGCAACACACCATAAAAGGTCACTTCAGCTCCAAAATATATTCCCAAACCAGTTCTGCATTTCTCCTGCAGGTATCAGTGCAGGACACAACATCAGCCAGGAAAATAAGCTGCTTGCATTACAAAGCAAAGCTGCCTGAAAGGGGAGACAGAGCACTGGGGTCCACTTCAGCTCCAAAACATATTCCCAAACCAGTTCTGCATTTCGCCTGCAGGTATCAGTGCAGGAGGCAACAACATCAGCCAGAAAAACAAGCAGCTTGAATTACAATGCAAAGCTGCCTGAAAGGGGAGACAGAGCACTGGGGTGCTGGGGATCCCCAAGAAGAGACTGGAATCAGTTGCAGCCTGCACACTCCCTCTACAGGCACAAGGCACTTGAAGAAAACAGCACTCCACAATGAAACTGGCCTTCTCCAGACAGCAGTGGAGCAGCAGAAGCTCATTCACAGGTGGCCAGGGCAGAGCACACTGTCTCCTTTGTGCTGGCTCTGACAAGTGAGCAGTGCCCACATGGCCTCACGCCTGCCAGCTGCTGCCATGTGCTGCACTGAGCTCTCAGCAAAGCCCAGCTGGCACTGCCAGTGAGGGATGTGGCCCAGCAACACATCAAACCACCACAGGAAAGCATTAATTTGCCTCTTACCTATTTTGCCCACTGCTCAGTAACAGCATGAAATATTAACAGGTCTTTAAGTCCTTCCTCTGTTGAGGCAAGAGTCCTTTAGCACAGCAAGGAGCAGTTTGTATTTAACACCTGAGCACACACTACTTGCTTGGTCATATTTACATTATCCTCCATTCACTCATGCAAACACTGCAAGCTGCTTGGCAGGTCTCACAGCAAAAGGCTTCTGCAAGCAACAAGGAATCATCCCAGCTCTCAGGCCCTGGGGATTTCTCTCTCTCACAAGATTTGGAAGGGTCTACATCAGCACACAGCCTGTCCAGCAAGGCAGCTCATGGAGACACAACTAACAGGGCAGACGATGCAAAAGGAGAGAACTTGGGTACATGCAACATGGGCTAACAATTCAAAATGCTTCAAAAGGAGAAAAACAGAACAAAAAAAATGTTTTGCATCTTCAATGAAAGATACTCCAGTTTGACAGGTAATAGTGTCACACAGAACAGGACAAAAACAAAGGAGTGTTTCTGCGCAATCAAGTCCCTAAAGCATTGTAAGGGACAAAAGCAGGTGTCTTTCCTGCAAGAAGGGTGGAGAAGCCACATGGCTAAGGCACAACCTTTTCAGGAAACCAAGGCAAAGATCACCTTCTCCAGGAGAACTAGATTAAACAGCCTCTCCTGAGAATCCACTTTCTGCTACAGTACACTGAGTGAAAACACCACTGACCATATTAATTCAGTGTAATTATACTTTAACTTTACACATGGCAGGGCACTATCTCCCCCCCCAGTGATGTAATCAGGAACTCAGGCACTCCAGGGGCAGCAGCAGCTGAGGCAGAGCTCTGCTGTCAGGGGATCCTCTGCATACACAGTGCAACCTGGCTGTTCAGGACACACACAAAGGGTCACAAAGCCAAAACTGGCTTGGCTGCACACCCCACATCTGCTGTGGTTTTGCTCAGCAGTTGCTTTCATCTCTCCATCCACATTTAAAGCCTGGAAAGTACAGAATTACAAGACAGCAATGGCTTTTTATAGCATCAAGAGACCAGCATGATGTGTTACTCCTTCCACTACCTAAAAACAAAGCATGACTCGTTTTTGTGAGCTTCTCCAGTCCTGTCATTACTCCCTGTGCTGAACGAGGAACAAGGAGCTCTGATCAAGTGCACAAACATTTTCTCAAATCTGAAAGTGAGATTTACTTCAGCTGAGAAGTAAATCTCACTTTAATCTTACCCCTCTGGTAAGTAAAGTCTTTTCAGCACAAATACTCATGTACTCAATTATAATCTGCTAATAGACAGTTCTCTGACTTAGGGCAATGAGACAGAACATGACACACAGAGGAAGTAAAATCTCAAGTATATTTTAAGGACAAATTAGCACCAGATTTTTAGCCAGTCATATGGAGCCAATGTTTTAAAATACTAGTGGGAAGTCACACAAAAACAACTGATACCAGCTCAGTGTAAAGGATATAAAAACAACATTTTCCTTGCATGGTGTGCTGTGCTCTGCTCAAACTGGGAAATAGGGTGTGGTTACAGATTCTACAGAACAGGACTGAGAAGAGCAGAGAAGGAAGAGGGCAATAAAGATCATTCTACCTCATCTGTCAACACACTAAAGCATTTTGTCAAATCAACAAACAAGCCTTAAAGACCAGAAAAAAAAAAAGGAAAAAGAGTAATAGTGTCTCAAAATGTAACAAACTTCACTCATTGAAATTCAACTGTTTAAAGATTTTAGTCAGTTTTACCAGGGCTTGCTTTGATTGCAACAGCAATAAAATACATCCTTTATGGAAGGAAAAAACATTCCTGCACAGCTCCATCTGCTCCCACTGGAAGGATGTTTCAGCAGCAGTCAAATGTCTGGGCTGGTTTCCAGATAACACCAACAGCCAGGTCTCTTTTGTTCTCAGAAGGGATGAACTGCAGCCACCAGAGCCCACCCTCACCCTGCCAGGCCAATCCACTGCAGAGAGCTCCCAGGTGAGCTAGTGATGCCCACTTATCTGTTTTTTTCCCCCCCTCAGTTAAGGCCTGTGAGACAGTGCAGTGCCTGCCCTGAAAAGGCAAGATACTGCCGCCACAGCTAAGCCTCCAGGTGCTTCGTGATCCTGCGGATTTTCTCCTTCTTGTTCCTGTTCCCGTGTTTCTTCCAGGGCTTTCCCCCCACGCTGGCAGGGCTGGGTGCAGCGGCCGGCACGAGGCCGCAGCCAGGCCGGTAGCCCATGGCAGCCCGGACCCCTTTCATCAGGGCGCGAACGTTCTCCTGCAAAAGGACACAACCTCCAGTGACCGAGGAGAAGACACTCAACCACTGCAGCGTGTCAGTAAACCAGGCACAGGCAAGCTTAGGCCCTGCCCCAGAGCCGCAGGAAGGCCACGGCAGGCAGCCAAAGCCTGCCAGCAGCTCCAGCTCTGCCGGGTCCCCAGCGCCTGCCGCTGATGTGACGCTGTGTCCCAGCCAGGATCAGCTCCAGCTCCAGCATGGATCCTCACAGCCTCTGCTCTGTGCACAACAAACTGTCTTCACAAATAAATCTGGCGCCCAGGAAAGCCACAGACCAAAATAAGTTGCTCAAGTCTGGAGCGTGGGCAGCACTGACGGGGCTCGCAGCTTGTGCCAGCACTTTGGGCAGACAGAGCAACAGTCTGGTAATCCCAAAAATTCTTTTCAGGTCACGGTTTTCTGAAATAGCTCACTTTTTTTTTTTTTAAGAGCTTGAGTTCTTGTTTTCAAAATGCATGATTATCTTAGCTGTGCTAAATAAATGGTGTTCACATCCAGCTAACCACACAGAATGGAACGTGCTATGTATTTACAGCTAAAAACCTGTTCTAATCCTTGTCAGATATGGTCAGTTAAGGATTTCATATTTCACTATGAGTCATTAATACACTTTTTCAGTAGTGTAGAGGCAAAACAGATGCCTGTAGGATCTAACAAGAATCATACAGGTTAAGAAAAATTCCCATTTTCCACTTAATTTTGAGATTTCTTGACTGGATTTTAAATCAGTTTGTATTCTTTTCATCTGATTCCAGGTTCCGAGTCAAAACCTCAACATAATACTAAATCCTAATATATATAATCAATACAAATATAACATAAATATAAATATCATAAATACTAAATTATCTTTAAAAAGCTTATCACAGCCTCTAAATACATCTGCTCAGGAAAGGAATGTCACTTTGAAGGACCTGCTAGTTCAAAACCTTGTTCTGGGTCAGTTGCCAAGTCATTCATACTTGTCCTTCTTCTCAATCACCCTCCTGCTTGCTCAAGATTGATGTTTGATTCCTAAAGACAAGGGTCACCCTGCTGACCTCTGAAAAATCATCTGTGCACACACCTCATTAGCAATCTTTCTGTCACCTAGGACATTCCCAGTGATTTAGGAGACAATAAAAAGAACAGAGCTCTTGGGTAGAAATTACATGCAGATCCCACAGCATTAAACACCATTAATTCAACCCAGCACACCTCCATCCTCAAAGGTGGTTTCCCCCCAGTAACTACAGATGAATGCTGCAGCAAAAATTCCTAGAACAAGTCTTTTCCAGAATTTACCTGATGGAAAAAAGTTTTGTCCACCACATTTTCAATTTGTTTTGCTTTGGTATTTTTCTCAGGCTTCACCTGTCCTGTGGCCTGCACAGTTATACTGTCAGGGCATCTTTGATGTTGGTGCTGAAAATCATTTGGGTCAATACCAGGAGGTGGGTGGCAATATAACAGCTTCCCCTGTGAAAGCAATGGGACACAGTTGTTACAAAAGCAACTCAGAGAGGAAAGAAAACAACTCCAACCCTAAGAAGGGCCTGAAGTTTAGGGGTTCACACTGGCAGTACACTTTATTTCTTCTCCCAGGCAACAACTGGCTTGACTCCTAAGTTAAAGTACTGTTCCACCTCTGCATCAAAGCACCATTTGCAGCTGCAGTGCCCAGCTGCAAACAACACAGAGCAAAACTCTCAGGAGCACCAGAGGATCCTATTAAGAAATTATCAACAATAAGTTGCCAAGAGATGCTAAAGAAGTATGCAGTATTACAGTACTCAGAGCAACAGTCCTTAGTGCCAAATATTGGTCCAGCAGTATATTATGAGTTCATTTCTTGAGTATCTGCTAGCTATTTTGGAGATAGATTATTTATTTAGCTGGCACCATATTTTAAGCAATCACCTTTCTAAGATTAGGCAGCTTGAGAAATTCAATTTATTCTTCTAAAACATAAAAGCAGCCCAATTTCAAGAGTCTTTTAATACATGGTGATTTTATCCAGAGAAATAGAATTTACTTTATTGTACTCCAGTGCAACATTTAATTCACCTCTGAAAAGAGATGAAAACCCAGATGTAAGAAACACTTACACTGACATAATCTTTTAACACATATCGAGCTGATCTCGGCTGGTCTGGCTGTCCATGAGATGTCATAAAGCCCCTCATGTCTGGAAGAGAAATCCAAAGTATAGTCTTTGTAAATACAAGAGAATATGAATATGTTCTCCTCTGCTGCCTAAATACCCATTCGTATTCTTTCTCGAAAATACTCTCTTAGAAAGAGGCTTCTCTTGGGGAAAGCAAGAGAAGGGGAAAAGGAAGGACTTTGGTGACTGTAAAGGTACTGCAGAAGCATCCTGACCTGAAAGAAATAAGAGCTGACATCTTCCTATTAGCAGAAAGCTGCTAGGGTTTCATTCTTGTTTTAAAGGCAGAGAATGAAAATTCACTGTATTCTTCAAAGTCTAATTCAGACACAGATGGTGGGAGGTATCTGAAAGGGTAAGAGCACCACACTATAGACTGGCAGGGCATTTCACCAGCATCTTCCCCACTATCACTACATCTGTCAGATGAGACTGGCAAAGCACCACTCCAACTCACAGAGGAGCCATTAACAAAGACCATTCCTGAGAGGAGGGCAAGCCCTAGCAAAGAGGTCCAATGCACAACAAACCCAAGCTGGGCCTAACTTTAGAAGGTTCTCCTAAGGCCATGTTCAGGACCATGCACACAGTGGAGGTGACAGGTTTTAAAAGGATCATCACTCACATCCATATGCTGTTAGCAGCTCTTCAGCTGTTGGCTTTCGATCTGGGTCCTCATCTTCCCTTGGCCTAATGATATTTATTCCATAGGTTGCTTCCAAAATGTTGCGTGGGATATGCTGGCAAACATAAGCTAGTGAAGGAAACCACTTTGTGATTTACAGCTTGCCCTTGTCACTCTAAGAGCACACACAAAAGAATGACTTTTGGATTTTGTTGCAAACCAGAATAATAACACAAGTCTGACAAACATGACTAAGCTGAAATGAGATAGGAAAAGACCAACACAGCAGGACTGTGTTATCCAGTATGTCCCACCTCCCTCAAAGCATGAGCACGTGTGCTGCTAGCAGGAACATGCTACTTGGCATACTCCAGATCCAACCCCTGCATGCACTCTTACAAACCCCATGCAAAGGATATTAGAGAAACAGGTGGAACATGGTCCCTCATCTGATCTATAGGCAGAATTCCAGAACAAATCATTTCTGCCTTGGTAGAGACGAAAGATGGCATCACCAGACCAGGGCAATCACAAAGGCACAGGCCAGGCTCCACATACAGGGTCTACACGATAAATAACCCATTAGTTCACTATGGCAACTCAGTGTCCATGGAGGAAAAAGGAACCAAAAAAAAAACCCCAAAATCAAATGCATAGATGAAACATGGATGCAAATGACAATAAGCAGAAATTCTAACACAGACACCTGCCCTGCTGGTCCCAGCCAATGAATTAAGGAGATCAAATGTAGAAGACAGCAACATTTTCAAAGTTCCTAAATAAGGTGTCCAGATGGGGGCAGCAAGATCTTCAGCTCTCCAGTCTGATGGGAGAGAAGAAAGCACTCCAGAAACCTTTAAGTTTGTGTTGGACCTTCTGAAACAGCTAGGAATTTGAAAAGCACAAATCCCACAAAGCAGCTCCAATGCTATAATGTGGGAGCAATCTCAAAATCAGAGTTTGATCAACATGAAAATATCAGCAAAACTACATTTATTCACAGCAATGATGTTGACCAGGATAGTTTGAAACCTTGACTTTAAGCTACTTGGAGGAACACTAATTTTAAAAAGATTCTCTCCTCATTACTGGTGTTGGAAAAAAGGGACAAGGTAACTAAATAAAATCAGGAGATTGAAAACATGCCCCAGTGCACAGCTCTCATGAGTGACTCAAAATCGAGCACAAGTTTAGAAGCAAGAATTAAAGTTCCAAAATTACACACATCAAGACCACCCCTCTCCAACCTACTCTGCTGGCCACAGTTCAGGCTGGCAGAGCTCTCAGTGAGTGCATGTGGCTGCAAATAGGTCATAACGAAGCTCTCTTCCACTGGGGCAAAAGACTGATGTTATTTGTTAGCAATACCTGGAAGTGTTTTGTACGGCCTGGTGTAGCAGACACTGACACCTTCTTATTTCCAAGGATTGTGTTGATGGTTGAACTTTTGCCAACATTAGGGTAACCCACCTAGACGACAAAGAAGTGATATGTTATTAGGCAGGGTGATGCCAAAAGACCGACAGATCTGACACAAAAGTTCTTTAATAAAATGTTCTAAAAAAAAAAATTAGGGCAAGCAGAGGGGCACATTGAGCTTTAGGACTCCAGATTCAGTATTAATCTGTGCACAAAAGCCACAGTGGTTTGTGCTTGCTAGTTTTTATATCCTTATAGGAAGCCAGACTACAGGATGAATTTTTCCCAAGGAGGGCACATGGAATTACAATTTAGATTAAGTAAGTTTCATTTAAGCACAAAGTCCAACTCACCAGCCCAACATTTACTTCCCCATCCTTCACCCTTGGACCATTGTGCATGGTTTTGAATATCTCCAGCAGCTCATTTCTCTGTACTAGATGGCTGAAGTTCCTGATGTTCCTGTTCTGCTCCTGCACTCTGTGCTGCACTGCAGCACCATCAGTCCTGCTTTCCATCCTCCCTGGACCAACAGCATTTAAGTTGTCACCAGCTTCATCCTCAGAACAGGTTTGCCAGTCCTCCTCTTCATCATCTTCACAGTCTTCATATTCATCACTGCTGTTATCACTGTCCAGGACCTGGTTTGCACTTTGCCAAGTGCTGCCTGTGGATGCTCTTTCTGTGCTATCTGGTGCTGTGTTCTCATCTTCCTGACTGGAGCCCCCCTCCTCAGAACCACTCGGGTGCTCCGCTGCCCCCTCAGCGCCCAGCTCCTGTGGGAACAGCAGTTCAGAGCTGAAATGCAAAGACAACCCCAAGCCTTGCTGCTGCCTCAGTGAGCTCTCATCAGCCAGAGCCCAAGAGCTGACAACTCAGTGCTTTCATCACACTGGGGTTTTTTAGAGCTCTTAAGTAGGATGTAGGTAGGAAAAACTAGCCTGTTTCAGGAGAATGACAAAAGTATTCCAAGAGGGACTGTTCACAGCTTCTCTGTGAAGTCATTAAGAAGTTCCTCTCCAGAATGAACATGTGCACACCCAGACTAGTTTTTTTAAATTATTAAGCATTCCGAGTAAAAGGAATGTTTTTTCAAAATCTTCAGAACACAAAGCCATTTTGTTTCATGTCTAAATATTTCATTAAAATAATTTCAAGCTGTTTAGTTTTCAGTCAACTCTACACTTCTTCCCTGCAAAGAGTTTACATTTAAAAATGAAGATATTTTCACAACAATAGTATTTTGACCTTTCTTCCCAAAAAGAGAGAACTAACACCTTCAATCTCACTTTCAAACCAGTCTGTAAAAACATTTCAACCAAGAACTGTAAACCAGATGAACAGAGTAGTTATTTTTTGAAGGAAATATGGGATATTCAACAGCTGAATGGTCATAACAAAGAAAGCAGCACCAATTGATAACATGTAATTTGGGGCAGCAGCTGAGTTTGTTCCACTGGGTAAATTACTTCAGGTACTTTGGGTTCTCCAAGAAACACGTCCCCTCCCTGGGAAAGAAAAAAAACATGTAATTTGGGGCAACAGCTCAGTTTGTTCCACTGGGTAAATTACTTTCAGGTACTTTAGGTTCTCCAAGAAACACGTCCCCTCCCTGGGAAAGAAAAAAATCCTCTATACAGATAACTCCAGCCCTTGCAGCATCCAACCTGGAAAGGTTTTCCTTCAATGAGTTAAGAGTTTGCAAGCAGGTCTACAAGGGCTGTTTCTGTCTTCTGCACTTTGTTCACCATCTTACCCTCCTCACTTTTGTCTCTGAATTGATCCTTCAAATGCTGTTTTACAGCTGCACAGGTCTTTAAAATAATCCTTTTGTGCTCAGGTACATCACAAGGATAGCTGCAAAGCAATTACCAGCTGCAGCCAGCACAGACCTAGTCTGAACTGGTCACCTGCAGTACCTTTGATTCTCCACAGAGCCGTTCACACTCTGCCAAAGCTGACCAGAACACCACCTTGACACCCTCCTTCTCAAAGAACTGTGCCCAAGCAGCACGTTGCTCCTCACTCAGCAAATCTGCTTTGTTGATCAGGATCATGTTCTCCTTGTCATTGCTGACTTCCTTAACGTAACTTTCCTAAAGAGAACAAGAGAAAGATCAGTTTGTGCTCTGGTTTTGACTCCTTCCACCCAAGACAATACAAGAGCAGCAGCACAAATTACTCCATGCAGCCCCACACAAGTGTAGCCAAGCTTACCATCCCTAGGCTGGTGGGCTGAGTGCTGCTCAGCAGACAGCCACAAGAACAAATTGGAGCATGCAACTACCACAGTACAGCTTGTTGCTGGTCATGTGTGCAAACATCTTGTCTCCTTAGAGCTGTGACAAGATATTAATCAGCACCCTGCAGCAGGAGCTCCTAAGGTAACTATTTGAGCAATTTCATGTCTCCCTGATGGAGTGTTCTATAGCCTATCATTACAAACTTGTCACTTCAATGATTTTTGATCTTTTGTAATCCTCACCCACTTTTATTTCACTATGCGTTTACATAAGACAATTCCTTTATGTGAGGACACTTCTAATGAGTAATGAGGAATAAAATAGTATCTACAATGTAACATCTGCAGAAGAGCCTCTATATTCACAACATTCTGTGTGAAATACCAAAGGACAAAGAAAAATAATTTCATGCCAGAATAACTGCAACAATTACTAAGATATTCACTCAGCCACAACAGCAAAACAGCTTCAAGGTGGCTGAATGCATTGAACAAAAAATCTATCACATAAACATTAAGATATAAAATGAAGACAACATTCAGAAAGTGGTTTACTTACCAAGTCTTGACATCTAAACAGAAGGGGGTTTCTGGCATCTACTATCTGGACTACAATATCACTGCAAAAGTAAAGGAAAGCCCCATGAAGCACTCCTTCTTACATTGCCTCAAAGAAAGCAGTAAGACACAGCAATTATTCACTTTTGGGTTTTCCTCGGAATTTTAATAGTTTCAACTGTAGTATCCTACTAAATACCTTTACTGAACAACAGAGCATCTCAGCAGCCCACCTGCCCCACAGAGCCATGCTTGTGCTACAAGCCACTACTGCCATACAGTGTTTCCTTCTCTCTTGGCTCATTCTCCTGCACAACCATACAGCCAGCAAGAGGGAAGAAAACATGACAGTTCTGCCAACCCATCCACTCTTCAGAAATGCTCAGCAGGCAGGAACCACAGCAGTGGTACTCCATCTTTTAGAATGGTACTAAAAACTGTGATAACACAAAGTTGTGTTATCCTCAGCTGTGGCAGGGTGGTGACAGAGAGAAAGAAGAGGTGGTGTTCCTACACAGCCAGGTATTTTGGAATATTGTTGTCCTCCTTGCATGGAACAAGATGTACAAAGCCTCCCACAAATGACATGCAGATTCTAAGTATTTGATATTGGGTATTTTTAAAAGTCCCTCTGTGCTCTTTTTGCCACAAAATGCATAAAACAATGAAAAAATAGCCTTAGACTTCAGTAAAATATGTTACTCCCCCATGCAAGCAAGGCCTTGCAACATGCTTCAGTAAGGTGGTTTCTAGGAAACAGCTTCCAAATCCAGAGGCCAGGTTGCCACCACACACACGAGCAGAACTCATTAGTTCCACACAGTAATTAAATGCAATGGCTTCAGATCCCAAAGGCATTCATGTTTCTTTTGTCAAAAGGACAGGAAAATTAAACTACAGCCTCTTCCACTAGAACTTCTCCAGGCAAGTAATTTAAAATGCTGCCATGTATTATCACATGCTAATTATATTTGTTTGACAGGGATTTCTGTTAAGTCAGGACAACTTCAGAACACCACAGGTTGAATGGAAGAATTTCAAGCCTCACTAGCCAGTTCATTATGTATTAAAATAAAAAAAAAAATCCCCCAAGGGAATAATCTAATAAGCCCCATGGGTACAAAGAGAACTGCACAGTTACAGACATTTAAATACCAATACAAGGGAAGCTGACACCATCATACTGGGATGGGATACAGAGAAGTTACTGAACCACACTGCTGGGAACTAGTTTGAAGCAAATACATGGAAAAGGCTGATAACAGATCAAATTATCTGAAAAGGTAAAGATTGAGTGACTTTAACATTCACTTCTGAGACAGCATCCTCACTCTACATGAAATAAAAAGCCTTGAAAGGAGCAGAAAGGCATTAATAACACATTCCAGTCACCTCAAAACACCCTGTACACTCACAGTGTACATCATGGTAGCCTACAATGGATGTTCCTGACCAGCACTCTCCCAGCCAAGGGCCCACAGCACTCAGTACAAAGCCCCTTCTGTCAAAGGACCAGCTCACCATGACCTCACTGGTGGAGTATTTTTCAATTTTAGGAAAGTGAAATGAGACGATCTTAAACCTAATTACTAGTGAAATTAAATGCCCCAGTTAGATTAACATAGCAGATACCACCCTTATTATATTACGGCTCAGCAGAGCAAACAAAGCTGTTCCTGTGGTATGGCAGCCCGTTGTCTCCTGTGCACTGCTGCAAGTTCTCTGTGTGGCAAAGAGACAAGGGGTTCCTTCTTTCCCAACATTACTTACTCCTTGCCTCCTGCTCCTGAACATCAGCTGCTGCAGTTTGGTTGGGAAGGAGGGGAAGGGGTTAATCTTGGCAAGAGACCTCAAAGGCACTTTCTAAAGGAGGCCTCCAACACAGAGTTACTGGGGAAGGCCAGGAGACTCACAGTGAACCACTGCACATCACGCTGTTGAGAGCTAGCAGGCACCACAAAAACAAAATCACTGCAGTGCTGATAATAAAATACTAACTTAGTAATTTTTCCTGTGCTGAGACACCTGAAGCTTGTCTCAGAAACCACAATTCATGAAAATACATTTAACATCACATTTTAAAAAGTGGATAGCAAAATACTTTACCTTCTTTCAATGACTCTCCAAAGCTGACGCCAAAATTCCAAATTTCTTTCAAATGGAGTTAGAATTAACTTTTTCTCTTCTTCGAGGCTAAGGCAAAACAGAAAAAACAACAGCACATTTGGTCCATGGCAGGCTGTAAGCTCAGTTCTTCCCAAGATCCAGAAGGCTTTAGTTTTGCAGAGTAATCAAAACCAAACTCATATAGAGGCACTATTTCTGATGTTTTGTCAAACAGATCAAGCCCTCAGGTACACTGCTGTCAGTGGCACTGGTTTAGTGGTGACACAATGGCTTCTGATCTTGTCAATACAGAAGTGGTAAAAGATGGAAAGAACAAGAATTCATCAAGAGTCTGCCTGTGAAATTTGAGAGCCATGATAACTAATGAGAGAAGTTATCCCAAGTGCCAGTAGTTTTTTTCTCAATTGAGTATCACTTGGAAAAAACGAAATTTGGGGATGGCACCTGAAATACCTCTATACAACCTTTAAATTGGTGTTACCACCACCTGAACAACTTTACTCAGGGTAAGCACGGGTTTGCAGGATGTGAGCAGATACCACCCATGTCTCCAAGCCAGCAGAAGCAGTGCTAGACCAGCACAGGCTGCTGGATGCAGCAGGCTGGCAGCACTACTGCTCTTAAAAGACACATCCAGAGCAGTAACCCTCTACTTCACAGGTGAATGAAGAACATCACACGTCATCCTGAATTAATTTAAAAGAACACACACACATAAGACAGCTTTGCAGAGCTGACCACAAAGACATGCTGGATTGTGGCTGGGATGTCCAGCCTTCCAGGACAAGTACAGAGAGGTACTGAACAGCCATTAGCTTTATTGATCCAACAAGGATAAATACAACCTGCTGCTTCCTGTGTCACTAAATGCCACCAGCTACTTACCCAGCCACAGGCAGCATACTCACTGGGCAAGCTGTCGCCTCCACTCGAGAAAGCTCTCTCTCTCTGCCTGCTTCAAGTCCTCTGCACTGGTTGTCCTATCCCACTGCGGCCTATAACAAGCATATTTTGGAGTGAGTGGTCAGAAATAGCAGTCAGTCCAGCTACATTACTTCAGTAAACATAAAGAACATAAAAACCACACATTCAGCTATGCTGAAGTAAAGGTTCAGACGTACATGCATCTATTTTCAGCAGTTTTAAGTAAATCTTCTTTCCTTGTTCCTTCCAAACTCCATTAGCAGAGAGCACATACACCAGATACCACAGAGCTGTTTTCTTGAGCTAAGTTTTGCAGGGTCCCTGAGATGGGATTAATCTCTCTGTTCACCCTTCACAGAGCTCTGAAAAGGTTTATCAGGCAGCCTGGATGCACCTGCTACAGCAGTGCCAAGCTTTGGGCAGAAAACCCACACCTTCAGGCTAGAAAGGCTGGCACTGGCAGCACTCACACGGCAGACTGGCACCTGTACTGTGGGTTACAGCCCGCTCCCATAGGTTAGTTAGTGCCTTCTCCAAAAGCAGGGTTTGCCAACCTGAGGCTGTCCTCAGGCTTGCAGCCATGGGGGAGGATCAGCCTGGGAGCCCCACTCAGCCAAGGGTCGCCCGGGCAGCCCTGCAGAGCTCACCTCCGCGGGATGCGCAGCAGTTCCTGATTCTCCTGGTGCAGCTGCCGCACGCGCTGGGCCTCCTGTGCCGTGAGCAGGCCCGTGCAGCTCTGGGCAGACACGATCTGGGCATTCAGACGCTCTGAAGGACAGACAGCCATCCAAAGACACCCGTCCCCAGCGCTGCCACCCCATCCTGGCCTTGCTGCCCCAGCCCTGGCTCAGGGCCCCACAACCCGCCTCAGCTGCGGCCGGCAGACCCACCGCCAGCTCCCATTCGCACTCACTCAGCCCAGAACCGGTGCCGCCCGGCCCCGGCATCCCCGCCTCGGCCCCCGGGATCTGCCCCCGGCCCGTCCCCGCTGCTCACCGGCCACGAAGCGGGTGCCGGCCAGCTCGGCCGTGGCCAGGAACTCCTCCAGCGGGCTCTGCTCGGGCGCCGACCGCAGCTCCGGGCCGCGCTCGGCGACCACCTCGCTGGCGTGCAGCTGCCGGGACAGGACAGCACCGTCAGGCCACGCCGCCCCGAGCTCTCTCCCGCCTCCCCGGCCCCCGGCTCACCCATGAGGAGGCGCCGCGGCGCTCCAGCCCGCGCTGCCGCTGCAGGGAGCGCCCAAGCCCATCGCTCCGTTTCTTGCCCATGTGCCGCCGCCGACGGAAGAGGCGGGCCGGCCGCCGCTTCCACCGCCCGCTTCCACCGCCCCTTCCGCCGCCCGGCCCCTTCCGCCGCCCGGAGCCTGCGCCCGCCGTGCCCCGGCCTGTCCCGGCCTGTCCCGGTGTCCGCCGCCAGGCGGTGCCGCCGCCCCGGCCGTGACTGTCGGACAGTCTGAACGTGCACAGGGGCAGGTTTAGGTTGGACATTAGTAAGAATTTCTTAACTGAAAGGGTGATTACACGTTGGCGTGGACTGCGCAGGGAGTTGGTGGAGTCACCGTTCCTGGGGGTGTTTAAGAAGGTGGCACTTAGTGCCATGGTCTAGTTGATACGGTGTTGGACTCCATACCAGAGGTCTTTTCCTACCCAATTGGTTCTGTGACCATCCATCCATCCATCCATCCATCCATCCATCCATCCATCCATCCATCCATCCATCCATCTTTCTGTCACTCCCACCCTGTGGTGCTCAGTATGGACACACATCTCTCTGGGTCTCCCCTCCTCAGGCTCAGCTCTAACCCCCTCCCTCCCACCAGTACTGAGCCTGGGGACACGGTTCACTGCCAGCCCAAGGCTGGTGCTGCAGCTGGAGTTCCTGGCATGGGGTGGCACTCAGGGCTGCCAGCCCCGGCAGCTGTGGGGCCAGTTTCTCTTGCTGGTTCAGCCTGGTGCAGATGCTATCAAACCACATCATGCAAAACCCTGCCTGGCAGCCAGCCATGGGGGCAGGGGTTTGTGTCTCCCTCTGCTGCTCCTGTGGCCGAGGTTGACCATGTGCCCTGTAACACAGCCAGGCCAGTGCAGGTTCCTTTCCCTAGTGTCCACCATCCCAATACAGCAAACAGTGCATGCAAGGAATGAGGCTGGCAAAGCAGGATCCTGGATGCAGCTGTGGGAGGTACACTATGAGGTTGCTGGCAAAATCCAGCCAGAGTCTGGGCATCTTTGCCAGACAGAGGAAATTGCATGACTAGCCAGGGAACCACTGAATGGATTTTGGCAGCAGTTGTTGCGACTGGTCTGGGTCAAGATGGGAGAGCACGATAAATTAATAAACAACTTGACCTGTACTTGCTCACTGAACTGATTTATGAAGCATTTCTCCTTTATGGTTGTTGGGTTAAAGCCGGACAATTTTCACTACAACTCTGTAATATGTATCAATTGTAACTGGAGAATAATCTGTCTAATCCCTGGAAAACTGGAGCAGACAAAGCTTAACTTCAGGAGCATGGCAGCATGCACAACGCCCTGGGTGGGAGTGGTCTTTTCTCTTTTCTCTCTTCTCTCTCTTCTGTTTTCTCTCTTTTTTCTCTATTTTCTCATTTCTCTCTTTTCACTCTTTTCTCTCTTTTCTCTCTTCTCTTTTCTCTCTTTTTTCTTTTCTCTTGCTCCATGATAAACACCCATTAGGAAGGCACAGCTATTCTTTTCTTCTTCTTTTCAAAGGCAGTAACTGCATGGCATAAATTTCCCAAGGACGAGGCAGTAACTGCATGGCATAAATTTCCCAAGGACGTCTGATCCTTTGCCATGCTCATCCCAGGCTCTGCCGCCATCACCAGCCTGGTCTGGCCCCTCCTTTGCTTCCTAAAGGCAAATAAGAGAGATGAAAGGGAACTCAGCAGTCGCCTTTTCATTTAGGTGAGGTGCTTCAATGGAAGCTGGTGGGCTGCAGACAGCAGGCAGACATTTAGTAAAATAATTTCTAATCAAGTAATCTTTAATAAAACCATCTCAAGTCTTTATGTGGGCACTGAAGCAGTAATATAAGTGCTCATTATTGTCTTTCTTTTGTATTTCAGTTAAAAGTTACCTTCTCTCTACAATGCATAATCACCAGCCAGAGCAGCCAGCCAGCCTGGCTGATCCCCACGCCTCGGGTCTGGCAGCACTTCTAACCCCACAGCTGAGGCACGTGCAGTGCCATTCCCAGGCTGCCCAACCGCAGGCAAAATGCTCTAATAATCCCATTGGCACGGCCCTGGCAGCTCAGCCTAGCACCACCAGGGTCTGGAGACTGTCAGTACAGAGTGCAGAGCTCGGTGGACCTCCATGGGACACCTGCAGCAGTGTTCAGTGGCATGAACTGGAAACAGACACTCAAGGACAGGCAGAAGTGCTGGTGCAGTGGGAAAAGGAGGCTTGCTCCATCACCTGCAACCCATCCTGGGGCAGGGAGGTTTGAAGATAACCTGCAGAAAAATATCTCTGCATTTAGATTGGGATGTCTTTCCCACACGTTGCCCTCTTTCCCCCCACCTTTCCCCACTTCTAGACTGAAGTGCTTCAGGGGACAGTTAACTGCAGGTATTTTCTACCACCTTTGTGGGACCTACTTAAGCAATGCCCAAATTGCCCTCATTGTTGCAACAGATATGTTTCTGGGCACTTCATAAACACCAAGGAGTTATTTCTGTCTGGTGATGCCAGCAGCACTGCGAAGATCGCTTTGAGCAGAGCAGTGCTCAAGGAGATGTAGACTGGGTCATCCAAGTGACAAAAACATCAGAGCTGGACTAGTAATTGCATATTTCTAATTGCCATGTTTCTCACCCCTCTGTGTGCCTACCTGAGCAAGACAGCCTGCTGCTCCTACAAGACATTTATGCATGGATTAATCACACACAGTGAAAAGGGAAACTGAGGTACAGATGCTGTCACAAGAGCTGCACAGAGGCAGCTTGTCACCAGAGTGTGCATGCCAAGAGCACAGCCAGGCAAGGAGAGCTTGGAGGAGGGGGGCACGCTGCTGTTCACAGCGTGATAAACCTGTTGATTTGCAGCCCATTCCCATATGATGGAGTAGCTATCACTGCATGCAAAATGAACACAATTTTTGCTGCTAGGCTTTCTTTGTACAACTCATCTCTTTGACTGGGCTGGACTGAGGTGTTGTCCTGGGAGAGAAAGCACCCCTGTGCATCACAAAACTTCTCACCACTCCTTAGAAAAGCACTAAGTGCCCAGCACCACTGGCTCTTTGGAAAGTGGCTACAGCTTTGGGAATTCTCACAAAACCATTGCATAGACAAAGTAAAATCTGCTGTCCTTACAGCACATTGTAATCATTGTCTTGGGCTTCTCTCCCAACTTCTTATGCCTTGGAGCCAAACCACTGCTCCAGTTTTTGATGCATATCCTGAGAATTACTTAGCAGCAGCAACTCTTTTTCAAAAGCCTTTGATAACAGTGCATTTTTGCCTAAAGGAAACATCGTTCTTTCTGGACAATTTTTCCTCCATGTTCCTTTAAGGCAGCACTGGGAGATCTCAGGACTTGTGTCTAAAATATTCATGTGATGGCTATTCATTATTCATGTAGGTTCACAATGCTCAATTCAGTGGTACTGCCAGCCTCAGCCTGACAAGCAGACCCATTTAAGAAACCCTCCCCACAGCAGCCCTGAAAGAACACCAAGACAATTTTGCTCTGTGCACAACTGCAGCTGCTTGAACCCCTTTCTTTCCAGCTGTACTCAGAAGTGGCCTGGCACTGTATGAAGAGTGAGAGCTTGTTCTGCAAGCTTCCCATCTCTTGGTGAAGGTCTTGCTCCTCTTTAGAAAGAGCAGAATGATGAGGAAACTCTGAAGCAGGGCTGCCTGGCCAAGGCTGAGCCCTGAGAAGGCACCAACACCACTGGGGCCCTGAGTTTTTTAGACTCCCTTTTTTCCACCAGCCCTATGAAGATAAAATCACCTCCTTGCCTGGCAGGGTGGGGGCAAGTTAATTAGAGAGAACTGTCTGCCTCTTTGAAGGCACAAAGCAGATGGGATTTCTCCAGCTCCCGTTTTTTCCACCAGCCCTATGAAGGTGGCAGGGTGGGGGCAAGTTAATTAGAGAGAACTGTCTGCCTCTTTGAAGGCACAAAGCGGATGGGATTTCTCCAGCTCCCATTGTGTCAGCTGTGCCTGGGAGTCTCACCGTGCTGCCCACTGCTGTCCCTCAACATGGCCCATGGATGGAGCACTGAGCGGAGGATGCTGCCCCACCACCACCCCTGTGCCCCCTGGCTGGCAGCACGGTCTGAGGACGGCTGTCCAGCACCAGCCCACCCAGCGAGCCGCCCGAGGGTGCCGTGACACCCGAGGGAGGGCTCTGCTCCGTTGGACACCGGCTGCCCTTCTAATTATAGCAGCCGGCGCAGGAAGCGCCGGGGCTGTGCAGGAAGCGGGGTGTGCCGCTCTCGGGGACTGAAAAACAACCACAGCACCACGGCACAGCCCCTGCTCCAGGGGCACTGCCGGCCTGAGCAGCACTGGCATCACCCTTGGTGCCCCAAGGAGATCCAGGCTGCCTGTGCGTGGATCTCCCACAGTATTCACATGGCCCTGGCATCACCTGCGCTCCCAGCCCTGGGCCCTGCCGGGGCACACCCGCTCCAGGATGGGGTGCTGCTCCCCTTCAGAGAGGCTGGAGGGCGGCAGGGGTGGCATGTGGCTTCCATTAAAGGCTGTTAAGGACCCTTCTCCCTGAGCAGGTCATGCTGTCCCCGCTCCTGGTGACAGGCAGCCATCCACACTTGCTGCTGGCCGGACCTGGCTGACGCTGGCAGGGCTGGGGCCATGGCACCCTGCCTGCCAGCACTGGTGGCTGTGAGGCTCAGGAGCCGCTCAGTCTTTCCGCTTCATGGAAAAACCTGACAGTTCAGCATTTCCTTTGTCCTGGTTTGGAACAAAGAGTCAAAACTTTGACATGTTGCATAGTTATAGAGACTCTGAAATACTGTTTTGGAACATACTGAATGCTGGTTTGCAGTGTTTCACTTTGACTGTGTCACTTCAGCTGCTGCGGCACAAGAAGTTCTATTACTACCTGGGGGGAAAAAACCTGACACATTTTCATACACTGACAAAATCAGTACATTCCCATGAATTATTTTGATCTTGTCATATCAACTTTCCCCACCACTCTCCCCAACCAGAGATCCGCATCAGCTCCAATTCCAGCTGCTGGGCACAAAAGCCATCCCTGAAGCAGGGCTGCTCCCTGCAGGGTTTCCCCCTCTCCCGTCAGACAGACTCTTGCATCTCTCCACACTGCCCAGGGCAGCCAGCATGGGCAGCCTGGCAGCTCCCTCCAACAGAGGTACTGCACAGCTGCCTGCCTGTTTGCACCTCTGAGACACCGTGCATCCCAGAACCTAGGGGCTCATGGTGGGGTGTGACCACGGGCTCCAGTGCAGACTGCAGTGGCCAGGGCAGGACAGGGATGGAGGGGCAGGGAGTGGGGTCTGCCCAAAGTGCAGCACTCACTGTGCTGCCGGCCCTGCGCCGCAGGGCAGAGATCATATCTTACAGCTTTTCCCACGCCTTGCTCTGGATTTCCAT